ATCACGCGGATCCATTGTTACTTGCCGATACATCTTGGCTATGTCTGCAGTAAGCGCGAATGCATGTGACCGAAATCTTAAGAGAATAGTGAATAAGTCCTCCTGAATCATTGGGCCGACCATTAAGATATCATTTAATGATAGACCGCTACTCGATTTCGCGGATGCATCGAAAACCACCCGCAGCTTGGTTGTTATACTCGATTGTTTAGTTACGGCATGATGTGGCAAGTAATAACCTTCTGTACGGGAAGGCTCTTCGATCCTTTCCATATGCCCCAAATCCTCGTATTCGGATAAAAATTTAGCATACTCTTCGCGTACCCCCGGTTTACGCGCTAACGAACGTTCGAGCACATGAAATCTTTTTAGTGCATTAACGTATGAATCCCCTAATTGATTTGCGTTTTCCCTGAGTGGTAGTCTTACTATATATCTACCCGATGAATCACGGCGCGTATTATTTGCATAGTGCGCTTCGCAATACTCCTCCTCCTGAGATCTGATTTTCCTTTCTGGCGTTTGCTCAATGCGCCAAAACTTTTCTAATTGTTCTTGCAATCCTATAAGAGCGGTATGGCATTTTACGCTTCGTGGCAAATGCATATTTGCGGTCGTTACTGCGATCCAACCTAATCGTGAATTTTGCAAAGATATTGAATCATTGATTTGAACAATCTGTCCGGCGTGCCATAAAGCACAGAAAATGGGCATGCCGAGAATCGCGTCTATTTTCGAAGGTTTATCGAAACCGGTATCAGCTAAACGGATATTTGCAGGTATTACTAATTCTTCCGGAGGTATCGGTTGTGATGGCGAAATATTTGTTATACTGGGTAGAAGTAAGAACTTTAGTTCAACTGCGTAGTTTTCCGTCTGCGATTGCATGGTCGTTACTAAGGCCTTGGTGGCATTAGTTTCAATTTTATTTATCCCGGCTATTGGTATGTTCACGCTTTGTTATGCGATTCGTAGTTTGCTGGCAAAATCGAAAGTTAAGAAATTAGCCTCGGCGCCTGAATCTAGGAGTACGCGGCACTTGTGTGGAATACCGTCGCGATCTAATAACGAAACCACAGCGGTTAACAATAATGTAGGTAGAGGTGCATGATTGATTTTAACGTATGAGCATTGCACCGTTGAGATTAGTTCGTCTATATGTAATAACGTGTTGTGCTTGTTCCCACATTTTCTACAATAACTAGACCGACAATCCTCAGCCCTATGATCAGGTCGCAAACAATTTATACATAATCCTGCTTCCTTGACGATCCTATTTCGCTCCTCGGCGTTAGCGCCTATTAATTGATCGCATGCAAATACTAGATGACTACCCGAACATACGTAGCATTGATTTTGAAATTGTGACGCATAAACCTGCACTGGATTTTGGCGTGCATCGTTCTGTGACGGTCTTTGCAAATTTGTATAACGTGTATTGAGCTGTGCTGCGCTTCGCGGATTGCCGTACCGTGTAAGCGGTCTAGGTGGATTGGTCATGCTATTCCTTCCCGTATCTCTTGAAACCTTTGCAGGTTGCGACGTAAGAAATGCAAGTCCGGCATTAAATAAAAAACTTCAAAGCTCGTCTATGGTCGGTAACTCTAATTTGGGGCGCTGCTTCTCCCATTCATATCGCGTCTGTTCATCCATTCGGGAAACGATCATGTATATGGGGAATGCCTCAGCAAAATTCTTTTTTGTGGATAATAACGCTTTATAGTTGGTAACGAGAGTGTTCGCGGCCTGAATTAACGTTTCCGGAGATTGTCTACTCATCTTGGGGCACTCTTGAATTGCCCTTATGTGTCGATTAATTAATAAAATAGGATTGTCGTAATATGACTCTAGTAGTTCCCATGCTATCTGATAATTGCCCTCGGTAATTACTAAATCCCGTATTTTCTCTTCTGCCTCGCCCGATACGCATGACTTTAAATACGCAAATTTTTGTATATCTCGTAATTCCGAATTTTTTCCAACGATCGATTGAAAMCCATCAGCAAAACTTGGCCACTCTTCGTAGCGTCCGTCGAAGTGCGGTAAATTCACCGGTGGCAATTGTACAAGTTTATCGCTTCGTGGGGGATTGTGTATACCAATAGATGTGCTCGCAGATGGCAATATTACAGGTTCATTRATGGCCGRGTCAGCACTTGATGTCGCGGCATGCTCGAATTTTTTTACTATACTTTCTGCTTTTATTAACGCGTCTTCGATTGACTCGCGAATTTCGTCACCTTCCCTTACGTAGATTTCCCACGTCTCCTCGRAAGMAACTGCTATTAAATCGGTCTGAACATTCTCGAAAGYTRTCATGTCCGAMTCGATTTGTTTTAATTTTGATTTTAATTTTGCTATRTCGTTATCGTTAGGATTCTCTAGGTCAGTTACGAACTTTTTGAAAACTGTAAATTTACTTTTTAAAGGCGCGCGCCTCCGTATAAGCTGCGCCTCGGTACACTCT